GATGACAGTTTTGTATTCCTTCACACAGCCACTGACTTATATGCAACAATCACAGCTTTTTAGGCAAATGGCTTCTTGCTTAAAGCATCTCTACTTCTGAATAATTGCAGCTTCATACAATCACACTTCTCATTTTGCAGGAACCCCACCAGCTTCCTCTTCCAACATCTACCAGGCTCTGATTCTTCACATGATGAATAGTGAAACATAAGGACAGATATTTTTCTTTCATTGTTTAGTCTGCACACCAGACTTTCTCTACCTAGTGCAGATCTCCATCTCCATCCCAGTGCAGGTAGATGACCATTAATTGATGAGCAGTGAGTCCAGGCTCTATGTCACGTGTAGTATGTTCAGGGACAATGAGGCTCAGCCTCATGCAGCACATACTGGTCAGTTCTGGAGCATATAGGTCTGATACCTCAGATACTGGTCCTACCAGGGTAGTTGAGACCAGGAACTAGGGGCATGTCTTGTGTTTGATGGGTCTGGATCTCGGGATGGCATACATCTGACATCTCCTGCTGCACAGCTGGCATAGTCTTCATTGAGACATTTAGTTTTTGAACCCTGGAGTTCAGCCAACCATTTCTGGTTTTTCCAGTGTCACATTGCTGCCCTGCCAACTGCTGGTTGTCCATGTCTGAAAACACCATTCTGCTGAGAGAAGCTGCTTCTGGAGGAGGGCTAAGAGAAAAGTCTGCTCAACTTCAGTCTCTTCTTGGGTGCCTTTTTTTCCTAGCTGTGAAGTTGTTATGGAATTTTAGAAATTCTTGTTTCAGCCTTCTCATATTTGTCACTGTGAGGTTCAAATAATTGAAAGATGTCTCATAGTATATGTCATCTTGACAGTGCTTCACAAGGGAAGCAAGAAGTTTATTCTAGAAACAAAATTTTTAACAAAGACCAAGAATGTACATCAATACAAAACTGAAAAAATGGGTTGCTTTGTAAAGTTGGAAACTAAGGCCGTAGCAAAAAATCAGTAACTCTGCCTAACTATCTACAGAGATACTTTCTTATTTACAATAATGTAAGCAACAAAAGATAGTTCTCACAGTGAATAAAGGAATGCAAATTTGTCGAGCTCTTCACCACAGTCAAGACAGTGAGAGTAAATGAAGAGGTAGTGGGGAGCCACCCACTGTCAGTGTCTTGGCTGGAAAGACAGAATTGATCTGATAACAAGTGAGCTGCATCTGTGAGTGCTGCATTCCAACCCAGAATTCTGTGATTTATTACATTTCCAGTGCTGACCACTCCAAAAGTGTATCAAAGACTCACAAATGACATAATCCTGAAAGACATTTTGCATGAGTATTTCATCAACAGAAGGTCACTTCTTGGGGTGGAATGAGAACAAAAATACAGTTTTGTTGGTCCTTAACAAGGTCTAATGACAGCCTGCAGCTCACACTCACTCCTTCCTGTACCAACTGTGTGTTCCTGCCCTGTCCTCTGGCTCAGGCACACTGGCTACAGGGTAACCTGGACAAGACAGAAGGCTATAGGATCACAGAATCAACTATAGAATCATATCAATTCTAGTATCAAGTAGATGTTCTATAGGGGGTTACATTTACATATTGACACAAGTAACCTCACATCTGCATGAAGCAGGATCCACAGGGGGTGAAGAGGGAGTTTTGGGTAGTTTGCAGTAAAGTGAAGATGAAATTTTATTCTAATCTTAACATCATTACACCATTATCTTAGTTCACATAATTCCACTTCAGTCAGTTTTCTTAACATTTTTCTATGAGCTGCTTCAGCTTGTTCTGGTCCTTCGTACAGTTTTGACTGTGCACTTGCATTTCTCTGGTGTTATCTTCAGGAGTTGCTGGGTCATGTATGTCAATTGACATATCTTGTTCTTTTGAAGGTTTCTGTTGGTTCCAGTAACTTCAGATTTATGGTACTTCTTATGTCTAGTCTCTAGCATGAAATACCCAGAAGGGTTATACCAGTTTAATTTGGTCTTACAAGATTCCTAAATGACTCTGTGGAGCTCAGTCCATTAAAAAAAGGCATTTTTAGCAGGCACAGGGAACATTTATAAACTGAATATAGGAAATCAAGTGCAGATGTATTTAAGACGTTCAGTCTCAAGTGGTTTAAACATAAAACTTGCTGACAGCTCTAATAACCCTAGTTCAAACTGTGGAGAAGCAACTCCTGCTGTGAACACATAAATTACAGGTAGATGCCCATGATTGCGGGTGCTTCTGCTACACCAGAGTTCATTTCATCTTGGAGGGAATAACCATTGCTGCTGAATGAGATCAGTGTCTTTATCATACAGAAAAAAAAACCTGTGCTTGATCTTTTCAGCTCACGGGATCTTTACTTTTAGCCCAAATTGAGTTATTTGATGATTGAACTAAAGCCCCTCTCTTACTTGCTCCCATTTTCACATGTGTTCATTCAAGTCTACCAAATTGTTTTCAATCTGATTTTCACTACATGAGAAACTACTAATCATTTTTCCTCTCTTCAAAATCCTTTCCATTTTACCAGTACAAGGACCTCATCTCCTTCTGCTCCATTTGCAGATGATTGGTTTTCCTAATTTTTCCACCAATTCTGCCTGCAGAGTCCTGGCACCTTTCTTAGCTTGATCACTTCTAAGCATTATTATACTGTGATAGAGACATGTGCAACATCGTTGCGCTGTGACAAGCACACAGCCCAAGAAAGGTCCCTCTCACAAAGGGAGGACCACAGTGTATGCCCCTGTTCAATGCTAACAAAAGGATTCTTTCTATTGTGTTCGTTTTGTCCAGCCATAAAAACTCATCCCAAATCTCCAAATTCCCCTTCCCATCTACAAGCCTGGGACACAGAGGTTTTGCCTTACCTCTCACCTCCCTTTTCTTCCAGGGGTTTTGCATTTCTGTGCCCAGTTTGCCAGCCTGTCCCTGCCCCTCTGGCCATCCTGCAGCTGCACCCTTGTGGCTTGGGCAATCCCAAGCACAAAGACAGAAGGAGTGGAAAACAGACTGAAAACAGTCCAGAGGAGAAGGACTTGGGGGTGTTGCTCAATCAAAAGCTCAGCATGAGCCAACAATGTCCACTTGCAGCCCAGAAAGCCAACTGTGTCCTGGGCTGCACCAAAAGAAGTGTGGCCAGCAGGGCCAGGGAGGTGATTCTGCCCCTCTGCTCTGCCCTGGTCAGACCCCACCTGGAATACTGTGTACAGCTCTGGAGCCCCCAACATAAGAAGGACATAGAGCTCTTGGAGTGAGTCCAGAGGAGGCCACAACAATGGTCAGAGGGCTGGAGCAGCTCTGCTATGGGGACAGGCTGGGAGAGTTGGGGCTGTTCAGCCTGGAGAGAAGGTGGCTCCAGGGAGACCTTAGAGCACCTTCCAGTGTCTGAATGAGCTACAGATGACGTGCGGAACAACGACTTTAGAACCAATAAGGTTATAAAGAAGGTATGTTTATTCAGCGCTGGGTGCACGGGGGATCTCTCCTCCACAAGCGTGCACACCCTAGAACTATTGGCAAGTTCATTATATGCCACAAAGTAATACATATTCATCTATACTGTTGCATATACATTAGGTGTCCGAGGATAGGGAGGGGTTATTACAATTAATCATTAGCATAGTTGCCCCCCCGAGCTCCTCCTTGTTGCACTCGCGCAGTATCTTCTGGTGGTCGTGGGCAGGGGTCTTTGGGATGAAGGCCGTATGTCTTCCTCGCTGTGCACTTTTCACCTCTTGGCATTCCTTTCTGGGGTCTGCACCAGGGTCTTGTCTTCTCTGCAAGTTTCTGTGGGAGCATCCTCCCACACAATACCTTCCCTCACAATTCAGGCCTTATCTATATATTCCAAGCCTTATCTATGCTAAGCAGTGCCATCCTGTTTACTCCTTATGTGTTAGTCCTTTCTACCAAGGTAGGCCATCTGGCTTTCCTCAGATCACAGAGAAGCTGGGGAGGGGCTTTTCACCAGGGCTTTTAGCGAGAGGAGGGGAGGCAATGGATTAACACTGGGGGAAGATTTAGGTTAGACACTGGGAGGAAATTCTGTGTGAGGTGGTGAGACCCTGGCACAGGTCGCCCAGGGAGGCTGCGGCTGCCCCCATCCCTGAAAGTGTTCAAGGCCAGGCTGGATGGGGCTTTGAGCAACCTGGTCTAGTGGGAGGTGTCCCTGCCCATGCAGGGGGGTTGGAACTAGA